TTATAAGGGGCCGGGGAGATGGCTCAGTAGGATAAGTGCTTGACTGGCAAACGCAAGGATCTGAGTTCAATCCCTGGTTCTGCAAATAAATAAATAAATAAATATTTCTATAAAGGGCTTGTGCATCCACAGATTCTGACGTTTAGCAGATGCTGGAATTTACCCTCTGTAACTAGTAGGCTGGTGCTTATTGAAAAGCATGGAGAGGCCGGGGAGATAGCGCAGTAGAATAAGCACTTGCCTGGCAAGGGCAAGGACCTGAGTTCAATCCCTAGTTCTGCCAGAAAAAAAAAAAAAAAAAAAAAATGCATGGTCCTAGAAGGAAAAATTGGGGGCAGTGGATCGCAGTGTGTGGGACTCAGGCATGGATGTTGCCTAAGTGAAAATGTTATCTCATTGTCCAGGGAAGAGCTGGGCATCCCAGAGGCTATGGTCCCTGGTCCATCCTTCTGGTACACGGCAGCTCCTTTCTTGAAGGCTGTGTCTTGAATTCTCCCTCCGCACAGGACCGCAGGTCTCTTTATCATCATCACATGCTGGCTAGGAGTCCCGCAGGGGTCGAAGGGTGGGAGGCCGCGGCTTCCTTCCTGGAGCTTTGGCTCGACCCGCTGCCGCCCCGCTGCCTGTCTGGAGCCTGTCTAATCAGATCCAGGCCTGACCTTGCCAGAGGTCCCGGACCAGGAACCAAGCCTCCACTCTGCTCCCTGAGCTGCCCTAGATCCGGCTCTCAGGAGAGCCCTCCCCTCGGGGTGATTTATAGGGGTGTCCGGGAGCCGCTTCCTGCCCGATTCTGCTGCCTCCAGAGCTCAGCCGACTGCCGGCAGGGAAGGGCGGCAGGGAAGGGCGGCAGGGAAGGGCGGCAGGGAAGGGCGGCAGGGAAGGGTGGGGAGACCCCTTGCTTGGGAACAAAGATACTTTCTTCTTCATTTTCCCATTGCTTTCACTGCCCCTAGAGGGCCTCCCAACCGACCAGTGCCTGTTGCCCCAGCTTGAAGCCAGGGACCCAAAATCGTCCCCACCAGGCCAACTAGTGTCAGCAGGAGTGTGAAGCCTCAGCAGCCACCATCATGGCAGCCCCTCAGAGATAACCTGCTCAGAGATGAGCTGGCCCTCAGTCCAGCTCCCCAGGGACCCTTGCCACAGAAAGACAGCAAGAAGGACAGTCCCGGCCCCAGCCCTGCTACCTGGCTGAAGCCAGAGCAAGCATAGACTTGTGAACCAGGCATGCTGCATCTGGGATGAGGGAGGCCGAGTGACCCTGAGATCCTTCTTCCCCAGCCTTGCAACGGAAAAGGAATACACATGGGCTGGTGAGATGGCTCAGTGGTCTAAAGCACCTACTTAGAACAAGCTTAGCAAAGCACAGGGACCGCGGTTCAATCCCCCAGCACCACATGCCAGCCAGCCCCCGCCCCCTGGTGGGCTGAGCTGGCCACACACAATAAATAAATAAATAAATAAATAAATAAATAAATAGAAAAAGGAACACATGGGGAGGGCTTGGTGGCACATGCTGTAACCCAGTCCTCAGGAAGCTGAGACAGGAGGTTCTCTGTGAGTTCGAGGCCAGCCTGGGCTACACAGTGAAACACTATCTCAAAAAGATGAAAAAAAACCAAGGAGTGTGTGGAGGAGCTGTGTGGCTGTGGCTCTGGACAAGGACCTTCATGTATGCTGCATATCTGGTCCCCCAGGGAGGCCTGGGCTCCCTGAAAGATGTGTAGGGCTGACCAGCATGTGAGGAGCAGAGTGTGGAGCTGTGAGTGACCAAGCCAGTTGGGGTCCCAGGGGCCGTGTTAGGAACTGACCTGTAGCCTCTTTACCTCCCCCACCGCCCCACCCAGCAAGAAGAGGATGTTGCCATTTTCAGTCTTCTTGGGGGCTACTTAAAACTTGCTGAGGGGTGAGAGCCGAGGACACCCCAGCAAAGAGGTGGGCCTCAGTTTCCCCTCTGCTAAATGAATGAATTTGTTTCCAAGTGGTTTTTCAAGGGCTTTCAACAGCACACCTCTTACACCCAATACGCTGACTGACAGGTTGCTGTGATGGAAGGAGTACCCCAGGACACTGGCCAGACCAGGGTGAGGAGGGCCAACCTCCACCCCCTGTCCCCTTCCAGCACTAGCATCCCTCTGCTCAGCTACACCCCACCACACCGTGTCTGCTCTTGTCACAGTTTAGTCAGCATGGATAGGTGGGTGAGGTATTGGGAGGCTAGACCTCTCTGTCCTGCACTCGAAGGAGCAGCAGTCCCTTCCCTGTCTCTCAGTCCTCCGGCCAGCTCCCAGCACTAGGTGCCTCGGGGGATCCTGGAATGGGGGCCAGAGGCACAAAAGGCTTTGGTTCCTTAATGAGGAGGAGGCATCTGCAGTCAGCAGAGCCATTGGTCCCCGCCCCTGGTCCCTGGGGGGCTGCAAGCTCCTCTCCAGCTGGAGGGAGGAGGGGGCAGGCAGCTCCTCAGTTCTCTGATGGGCAGGGTGGGGGGCAGGGCAGGAGGGCACAGATTCAGACCTATACGCCCTTGACATTGCCCAGGCCTGCAACCACCTTTCATGGAGTTTGGGGGTACAGACATTAAAGGGGCTCCCTTGGCCTCTTGAGTCCCCTCCCTGTTGGCTGACCTGCACAGCTTTGCCTGAGACTGGGTAGGTGAGAGGCAGTGCTTCTTGGGGGTCCTGTCACCACGCTGGTGGGGATACCCACTGTACCACCTCTGCCCCAGGGCCTCAAGTACTGGCTCTAAAAACTGTACCTGCATGGAACATGCACCTTGGACAGTGCACACAGCACCAGGGTCACACATCAGCCACAGGAGCTATGGGAGCCCCATTCCTGTGCAGGTGCCACCCGGGCTACATGTGTGCAGCATGTCCCCACACGTGTGTGTACAAGGGCACACGCCCATCACTGAACTCCCAGGAGGCCCCCAAAGAGGAGGCAGGGCGGGGTTTTCTGCATGTTTATATTTAATGAACCACATGCAAATAAGATGGAGAATGCGCCATAAGGGAGCCAGCCCCCAGGGACTCTGGGTAGAAGGGCACAAAGGCCCTGGCCTTTCTAGCAGCCTGTACTGTACACGAGGCCTGTAGCTCGAGGGGGCCTGAGACAGGCAGGTTGTCGGGGCTGTACAGAGGGCTGCCTGCCACTCCAGGGAGCCCCAAGCAGGGACAGTGACAAGCTCAGTGTCTCTGCTGCTAGGAGGGAGGGCTCCTGGGGGGGGCAAGTGTCCCAGTTGATGGAGTGCCCGAGGGAGGGGCTGCCCGCCTGGACAGATGGCGCATCGCCTTCCACACTCGAAGCAAAGTGGATTTTAATGCAATTGCAGCGGTGGTCCTGAAGCTGGGAGCCTGGGGGGCGGGATCCTTCCCCCAGCCTCACAGAGAAGGGCTTGGGCATGGGGGCACAGGATGAGGAGGAGGAGAACACTTAACCAGCCTCATGCTGAGGGACATGGGGTCTGTCCCAGCCCCTGTGCACCAGTGAGTTCAGATCCCCCCAAAAGGTGGAGAGGGGCCCCTGAATATTTATGATACATTGAAATGTAGATTGGTAGGTTTGACAGTCTTCTGAGAGCTGTCTCCCTGGGCGGTGCACCACCCTCTCTCAGGCTGCAGGAGAACCAGGGAAGGGGAATACAAAAGGCAAGGAGAAGAGTCCCTGGTAACCAGAGCTTGACAAATGTGTAGTGTCCCCACTGGGCCACATTGGACCGATCCATCCCCTCCCTGGGCCCCAGTTTTCAGTTCAGTAAAATGCAAAGTATAATCCTCAGGTCTTGCATCTCAGAGGAAAAGTGGATGAACATAAATTCCAAAGCAGCCCCCAACACGGGGAATAGACCTGGGGTCTGTGCTCCCTCTGGGTAGCCTTCTGGGGTCGGCTCTGGAGGACCTTGTGCACACAGCCTGCAATGTCCTGCTTGAGGCGTGCTTGGCCTGGCGTTTGCCCAGGCTGCTCTCAAAGGAGCCTGTGTACCACTGACAGGAGACCCACCCATGTGACCCTGCTCCTGGAGGTCTCTGAGTCCCAGCCCACCTTGCCAGCAGGCCTCACGCCCCTTTTCTCTTCCCCAGCCATGTCAGACTTCCACGTGCACCCCCAGGCCACTTCGGGCGAGGTAGGCGGTGTGGCCCGCTTCCAGTGCCAAATCCACGGGCTTCCCAAGCCTGTGATCATGTGGGAGAAGAACAGAGTGCCCATTGACACCGACAATGAGAGGTGAGTCCCTCAACGAGGGCCAAGAGGCCGGTCGCAACTCTGCCTTGGGCATACCGCAGCTTGCCTGCACACTAGGCTCACCGACCTGCCTGTGACAGTCGTGTCTGAATAGCACACAGGGCCTGGGCTGTGTCTCTTATACTCATTGCCCCAGTGGCCCACGGAGCCAGTAGCTCTGTTGCCCCCGTCTGCAGGTACACGTTGCTGCCCAAGGGGGTCCTGCAGATCACGGGCCTCCGGGCCGAGGACAGTGGCGTCTTCCACTGTGTGGCCTCAAACATCGCCAGTGTCCGGATCAGCCACGGGGCCCGGCTCACGGTGTCAGGTGAGGGTAGGCTGGCCACCGAACGCATGCGCAGTGCACCGGACCGACAGACCTGGTGTCTGTCCAGGACCGTGAGTGGGGTGAAGAAGAATTTATGGGTTAGAGCGAAGGAATGCGCTCTTGTCTTCCCAGGCCCGGGCTCTGGGGCCTACAAGGAGCCCATGATCCTTGTGGGGCCTGAGAACCTCACCCTGACCGTGCACCAGACCGCAGTGCTGGAGTGCGTCGCCACGGGAAACCCGCGCCCCATTGTGTCCTGGAGCCGCCTGGGTGAGCCTCAGCCCGCAGCCTGGGCCCGGGGCGGGCCGCTGTGGGGTCCCATCGCTGGGCTTTGCAGGGACTCTGAATCCTGTCTCTTCTCCATGGGGGCGCAGGAGGGCTGGGTCCCCCTCCTGCCAACGCGTTCCCCTCCCTCACACAGGGCAGGCTTAGCTCCCGGGTTACCCTGGCATCGCGCCCCCCAGGACCCCTGCCTGCACCAGCCCCTGCCCTCAGTCCCCTGGCCACACCCCCTGCCATGCAAGCCCAGGTCCCTCAAACTCTCAACCTCACTGTGGGCCCCCTAAGTCCCCCAGCCTAAATCCCTGGGCAGCTGAAGGAAGAAAGGAAAGGGCGCAGATGGGCCCACATTGTCTGAGCTGAGAGGTCACTGGGGGAAGGGGCCTGTGAGGGATGGGGTGGGGTCTATTCACGGGGACACTGCCACATTGTAGCAGCTGAGTGATGGGGAGGGAGGGGCCCCAGGCCAGATAATGGAGTAGATTTCACCACTTCAAGCCCCAAATGGGGAGCTGTCTCCTTGTGTCCTGACTGCACTAATCTGATCCAGGGCTGGGGGAGGGCCTGAGTCCTTGGGAGAGGATGGAAAGAGTGGCCTCGGCAGCAGGAGCAGCCGCTGGGGCCTGCAGGGACCATCTGGTCCTCCACACTTCCCAAAGTGAGATCCGTCAGGAAGACAGGCCCAGTGGCCTGGCAGTCTGGGAACCCAAGTTCCCCAGGTCCTCTCTTAGCAGGACTTCTCAGCATTTGTGTTAGTGGCCGTTGGCACCCAGCACCCAAGAGTGGAATGGGTTTTATTTTTATTTATTTATTTTTTTTTAAACATTTATTTATTTATTTGTGTGTGTGTGTGTGTGTGTGTGGCCAGCTCAGCCCACCAGGGGGCGGGGCTGGCTGG